AACAAAAAGTTGAAACTTTCCGAATCAAAATAGTTTCCCGGATTTGTTTCCTCTGTGCAACTTTGTGTACGGTCAGCATGGATAAAATTCTATAGTTTAGTTAGAAAAGTTGCTTGCCCGGGGAAGTAAAATGTAAACAATGATTTGTGGACGGAATTAATCCCATGATTTTTACAATCGGTGAAGAACACGAACAAAAAAAATGTTCGCATAAATCTAGTACCAAAACACACTAGAAGCTGCTCCCTCCGTCTGAAAATCTCCACTTGTTACATAGGCGACAGTTTCAGGGGTGACAGTAACACAAGAGACCATCATGCTCTTGATTCAATAATTATAAGATATTCTCCCAGACCATCTACAGCATAACCATCCTGCAGCAAAAAAGCATCCATTTTTTGGTTCATTGATCAAAGAGAGAAAGAAAGATGATAATATGGAAGGAAATGAAAAAACTTGACAGAAGCAAGATAAGGAGGCAAAGGGTCAGGGGCACGAACATCCAGAGCCAACACCTTGGCAGGGGCATAACCATTTCAGCATATTTGGACCTAAAATCTGGTCAAAAAATAGGTGAATATCCAATGGGCAAAAGGAAAGGTATTTTTGTAAAATAACCACATATTTCCACTAATTTTTCATAATCAATCAAACACAAACTCAGTAAACCTAATGAAATATTCCCAGAAAAATATGGATCTACCAAACAACTTTTTAGTAATATTTCAGTAAAATATATTTTCAACTACATTTCGATAATAATTATTTCCCGGATAAAAAAATATTTCTCTCGTACCAAACGCCCCCTCAACATCATTTTTTTGTCCAAGTCAAATATGATCTTTATTTTTTCTTAACCTTTGCAAATAGTAAATTCATCTACACATTTATTCACAATGTATAAAAGGTTCACTTTTTTTTACGGTAATGTAAATAATTTATATACATCGAGCTCAAAATGAGATTATTTTTTAAATGAAAATCAAAATATTTTTATAATTATAATTTATTTTATGATTATAATAATCTTTTTCATTAATTTTTAAATCCAAAAATATAAATAATATCTATATTCTATGTAAAAACATTAAAGTCATATATAAAATAAGGTAAAAAATTTCTCGAGTCAAAATTATCTCCAGTAAGCTGAAAATGACATTTTTATGACAAAATATATTACAAGATTATATTAATCTTTATCATTACAATTTTTTAATCTTGTAATCTCAAAACAACATCGTTCTGGAGAAATACTTTTCCCTATAAAATATGTGAAAGTATATTGTAACAACCAAGTTATATTATTACAATCAATCAATCTCACCGATAGATCGATTATGTTGATCGAACGGTTATATTTATTTTCATCTTTGTATGGTCATTATTTTCCAAATTTAATACTTTATATTTATTTCCACCTTTGTATAGTTATGATTTTTCATATTTAATACTTTCACTTTAAATATGGGAAATCATAACCATACAAAAATGAAAATAAATGGTAGTAACATGGTAATAACAAAACTTGGTTGTTACAATATTCTTCCTCATAAAATATTAAATAATAAAAATTTCCTTACACATACCAAATAATAATAAAAATGACGAGAGAATAAAAAAATTAGGTATTAGAAGTTTGCGCATCTGTTTGGTCTGAGAAACCAAACGGTGACGTTGTAAAAAATTGATATGATAATATTGTAAGATAACTGCTCGGGCAATTACCAAATTATTTACAACATTAGAAAAATAATTATCATTTTTGGAAAATAAAGAAATGAAAATTTAAAAATAACATCCAATAACAATCCTATACAAGGACAAAGAATACTATACAAGGACAAGGTTTTGTACATTTGAAGTATGGCAAACCAAAATTAAGATCCATCACCATAATTAGTCTTTTTTTCGAGCCATTCTACCAAACTTCACGAGACACAACCTTACCAATAAAGAATGCAAACTAATTTCGAAGCACTTTATTTGCCGTCCTCGCAATCGTCTTTACAGTACTTCGATGTTCAACGTGCTGTAAGTTAATTTCATCAATAATACATTTATTCATGTTCAACAGTAATGATTCAAGAACATGACAGAGGATCTTCAGAATTTATGAGTTTCACATAAACATACCTTTATCCATAATTGCGGAAGAACTTTGATGGTGATATGGGTGAGGCAACTTATGTGATAGGATTGGAAATATTCCGTGATAGATCACAAGGACTGTTAGATTTGTCTCAGAAAGCATATATTAATAAAGTTCTAGAGAGATTCAAAATGGAAAACTGCTCATCGTCTCCAGTTCCAATTCAGAAAGGAGATAAGTTTAGTCTCATGCAATGTCCTAAAAGTGAATTGGAACGAAAAGAAATGGAGGCAATTCCGTATGCATCATTAGTTGGGAGTTTAATGTATGCTCAGACTTGTACGAGACCAGATATTAGCTTTGCAGTTGGGATGTTGGGTAGATACCAAAGTAATCGCGGTATGGATCACTGGAAAGCAGCAAAGAAAGTTCTGAGATATTTGCAAGGAACTAAAGGTCACATGCTTACTTATAGAAGGTCTAGCAACCTTGAAGTGATTGGATACACAGATTCAGATTTTGCAGGATGCGTAGACACAAGAAAGTCTACATGTGGTTACATGTATCTTTTAGCTGAAGGAGCTATATCATGGAAAAGTGCGAAGCAGACTGTAATAGCTGCGTCCACTATGGAAGCTGAATTTGTGGCATGCTTTGAAGCCACAATTCAGGCTAAATGGCTACGGAACTTTATTTCAGGGCTTGGATTGGTCGACAATATTGAAAAGCCGCTGAAAATTTATTGTGATAATTTCGCAGCTGTCTTCTTTTTTAAAAACGACAAATATTCCAAAGGTGCTAAACATATGGAATTAAAGTACTTTGCCGTTAAAGAAGAGGTTCAGAAACAAAGAGTGTCTATAGAGCATATTAGCACCGATCTTATGATAGCTGATCCCTTGACGAAGGGATTACCGCCCAAGACATTTACTGGTCATGTATGTAGAATGGGCATTATGTCAGCTAATGAATGATGATAATTATTGTTATGTATTAAGTGTTGACACTCTGAGCTCATTGATGAATATATGTTTCTATTATTGTCTTATTTTCAATTTATGAATGCATGCAAGTATATGTGATGATATTGAAAATATTTGTGGTCCATTATGAAGACATTATTGTTGGACATAATGTGTACTTCCTATTAAAGTATCATGTTAGGAAGAAGAGTCAATATAGTAGTACATGGAAGGGACTATGCCGACTTGATAGCATACAACCGCCATGACTCTTGTTGATTTTATTTCTAATAATGAATTATGATGTCAATGTATGGAACCTTTAGCCTAATAAATGCGCATTATAATGAATGTTGATTAAATCATGAAGGGACACCTCATGACATGAGTCAAGTGGGAGAATGTAAAACTTATTGTGTCTCATGTATAATATTAAGTGTCAGTTGATTTAATTAATAAAAGGACATAATGGTAATTGACAGTAAATGGAAGTTATTAAAAGAGTAACTGCTGATAGGTGCAGTTACATAAGTGTTATATGGTCAGTTTTCTGTGTAAGTGTCTCTGACAAGAAAGAACGCTCCATCTGGGTCTGCCTATGATAGTTGTATCCTATCCCTATCAAAGAAGATACAAGAACAGTGAAGGGTAAAGACTCAGAGAAAGGATCTCACCATCAAAGTTCTTCCGCAATTATGGATAAAGGTATGTTTATGTGAAACTCATAAATTCTGAAAATACTCTGTCATGTTCTTGAATCATTACTGTTGAACATGAATAAATGTATTACTGATGAAATTAACTTACATGGCTCTGATACCACATGTAAGTTAATTTCATCAGTAATACATTTATTCATGTTCAACAGTAATGATTCAAGAACATGACAGAGGATCTTCAGAATTTATGAGTTTCACATAAACATACATTTATCCATAATTGCGATAAACATACATTTATCCATAATTGCGGAAGAACTTTGATGGTGAGATCCTTTCTCTGAGTCTTTGCCCTTCACTGTTCTTGTATCTTCTTTGATAGGGATATGATACAACTATCATAGGCAGACCCAGATGGAGCGTTCTTTCTTGTCAGAGACACTTACACAGAAAACTGACCATATAACACTTATGTAACTGCACCTATCAGCAGTTACTCTTTTAATAACTTCCCTTTACTGTCAATTACCATTATGCCCTTTTATTAATTAAATCAACTGACACTTAATATTATACATGAGACAGAATAAGTTTTACACGTGCTAGAACCTGATCTTGGCTTATATCAAGAGTTGAAGAAACAAACACGTTACCCTGTGAGCGAAATTAAACAAAAGGAAATGAATCTTTTCTCATTTCGCTTCATGTCAAAAATCTAAAAATTAAGGACAAGTCAAAAACTAAGACTGTATATGAAAAAAGAAAAAAAATATCACATTAATCGATGACAGTTAACCTACCAAGCCCCAAGTAACCATATAACCCGAATTGTATTGAAAAAAAAAAGCCCAAGTCATTCGAAGTGCATACATCGAATAAACAAGTATACAGTCCCGCAAATCATCAGATTGGAAAATTCATTCTCATCCACAGCAACATTGGCTGTGTAGGAAGGTGTCCTAAGATTTTTCCAATTTCATCACATGATGTGGGATAAATACATCAATTGCCACAAACAATGAAAATGTCGATTCGACAAATTCTTCACCCGACATGTTAAGATAGAATAGAATGACAAAGACATCAGAATTACTTCTGTAATCCGATGTCCGAACATAATATAAAGCCGCTCAAATCTCTAGGATGTGAAACTAAACGAAACAAGCTGACACCAAGAAAAACAAAAAAACAAAAGTAGACCAAAAATTCCAGCATATGATTTATAACAAACCCCAGTTAACAAAGAAGAAAACATAATTGAACAAAACAGAACAGAAGCATATATAGAAGAGATTTTGTTCCCCGACGTCCAAATGCAACATCAAAATTGAAGCACTGGATAGCGAGGGGAACACACTTGTCGGCTTCAATTATACATTGCTGAACACACTGAAAAAGGTGCAGGCAAATATCTTATAGAAATCTGAAGCCTTTCAAACATTAAAGCCAAATTGAAAACCAAAATCAATATACAGAAAAAAATATTGTTTTCCCACAAAGTGAGATAAGGTACATTTATGGTATATAAAAAACTACGATTTAAAAACCAAAAACAATAAAAAAGGAGCTACACTAGATAACTCAGTCCCTTAGATGTTCAATTAATGTTTGCGATCATACCCGCAAATCATTACAGGTCTGTAGGCTCATCACAGTTGAAAACAGCGCAATCCCAATTACTAAATCGACGATAAAACGAAAACCCCAAGAATAAAAATGGTATCTTTACGAGGGAATTTAATTTAGTTGCTCCAGTGTTCTCCCAAAAGCAACTGAGGAAAACCAGTTACGGGAGTAATACAAAAGAACAACACTAATCGCTATTGCTTCAAGGGAACGAGTCGAGTGGGAATCGAATTAATCCGCACCGACCAGATAGCGAAGCGTAGTGCATTTTCTAAATCCCAAAGCAAAACAAATAGCCTAAATAAAAGATTTAGAAACCCTAATTTCATATGCAGGGATGAAGAAGAACAGATAACAAAACGAGACGGCGCTCATAGGAATTCTTGTGTTGATTTATATAGATCGATTAGAAGATTAATCGGACGGTTACTATTAGGTCCTTGCGATTGAACGGTTCATATTCCTTTCTATGAAAATTTGTGGGTTCTTGAGGTTAAGTAAAACCCTAACCAGCCCTACCCAAGCCCATGATGAGACCCGCTTATTCTAAACAAGACCATTTTTTGGCCAAATAAAACAAAAAAAGGAGACTGACTTCAAAACTAAAAACGTCGAATTTTTGAAAACAAAAAGTTTAATTTAATGATTTTGTACTTATCAAACTAATTATTTTTTTTTGATAATACAGAGAATAAATAAATTGTGCACCATGCAGAAACAAGATAAAGACCGTCGAAATTGGGCCGATCCGTTTAACCCCAAAGAATAATCAAGGCTGTGCTTTTACATGCTCATTTGAAAAGACTCGTTGAATTTTAATGAGTTTGATTTAGTTTGGGTCAGGCAAAATGAGTTTCATTAAGTTTGGGTCAGGCCAATTTTTTTTATTTGAAGTATCAAAATCTCTTGGGTCACTTGCTTGACTCGTTCGGCCTAAAAAATGTCACCAGCCTAGATTGTGCTTTTATAGATCCCACAGGATTGTTGGGCCAAGCCAGCCCAAATATTTTCAGGCCTAAATTCATAGCATGTGTCAGAGGGAAAACATAAGAAAAGTCACATTTATTTTATTTTATTTTCTTTTGATACAGAGTCACATTGTTTTTCAACCGGCGAAAACAAAGGTCTCATTTTTTAACTTAGAAATAATATTTCACATACAATTGACCTTTGATGGTTTTATAAAAAGCATACATCATTTATTGGGTTTGCAGTGTATTGGATTGGATGTTGTTGTCATTACCCAGATATCATTACAAGTTGATTAATTGCTGATTTAAGAAACATGTGTGAGGTAATCCTCTTTAAATACACTAATAAGCCTTTTTTTTTTTTTTTTTTTGATAACAACTAATAAGCCTTTTAAGGTTAGAAATAAACAAGACTGGAACAGCTATAGCCTTACAAACCAAACCAAACCTGGAGGCATAGGGGGTGAATCCTAGCACCCGGAAATTGTTTTGCAATTTACAGAAATTTTTCTTGAAATCTTTTTATTTAATTTTATAAATTAGAAATTCTCTAGTTTTGTCAACTTCTAATAAGGGGAGTTTTGTCTGTAAAATTAGCCCATCCGTATTGTTAAATTATAGTACATTTCCCCAATTATACATATTTCTTTTACAATATTAAATATTTTTCGCTTAAGTTTTTAACTTTTATTTTAATATTTTATCTGAATTTAAAGATATTCGTGCACGAGATAATACTAAATAATTCCCCAATAACAACGGTTTCATTAGTTGTTTGAACAAGAGAGACATGAGACGAACCTTAATGGACAGCATGTAGGGAACGTTGTTGAACTAAGGGGCTTCGGTGGTTTACAAGATCTTAAATCCAAATCTGTGGTGTCATACTTCGTAATGGGGACCCACAAAAAAAAAAAAAAAAAAAAAGCTATGGAGGATCTTAAATTCAAATCTTTGTGGTATCTAATAGAGAATTGTTAGGAGAGCTCAAGCTCTTTTTGAATTCAAACTTGTGATTTCGAGCTCCCGTAACAAGAACATTGGAGTCCTAATAATAATTTCAGTTGTAGCAATAATTTTATACTCGAGTGGCAAAAGATCATACAAATCATACGGGAAAGTTTTAGAAAAATATTAGTATCAATTTTGATCGTTAATTTTATGGGTTATATTTATCTACTTTTACATAAGATAACTACATTTCCTACACACACAAGCTAGGTGGGTCCCATTTCTTTTTTTTTTCTCTCTCCTCTTACCTATGGGTCCCACTTACAATCTTGTTTCTACAACATAAGATAAGCATTTTCCTACAACATAAGAAAATTATTTCCCTAATTTTATTTATATTATAAGCATGTTAAAGTCAAAAAATCCCATTCTCGTTTTTACTGGAATAGAAATGGCAGTCATTGACGACAAAAAAAATAATGACAAACATTAAGGAATAGTATTCAATCTCAAATGATTAAAAAAAAAACTATTGAGAAGTATCATTCATTATAGCCATAGTCATTGTTGATTCCGATGAACTCAAGAAGAGGGTGAATTGAGTTTTATAAAAATAATTCGCTAATTAAAATTAACTCAAAATAATAAATCAAGATAAGGATAGAGAGATATTAACACAATAATTTTTACGTGGAAAACCCAAAAGGGAAGAAAAACCACGGGCCCTAAATCGAATACTGAAATTCGACGGGCAACTCTACTATGAAACTTGTGTACAAAGAGTTCTCTAGTATCCTAGTTTCCTAGTCTACCCCTTACACAAATTCCCAAACTGGTATCCTAGTTTCTCAGTACAAAACCCTAACCCTTTAGGATTCCGAAACCCTATCACATAAGGGTTCTCAACTTACTCTCAATTTCCAAGAAAAAGAGACATGCTGGTATCCCAGTTTCCCAGCATAAGAACTGGTATCCAAGTTTTCCAGTACAGACCTTCAGAAAGATCAAGACGAAATTTACAATTAAATACCTCAGTGCTTCTTTTCCTCAAACATATAGATAATCTGAATTCCTATGGAGAAATATTCATTTTGCAAAAGATGAATGTATGAATGAATGTTCTTGAGAAAGCTCTTCAATTGATGCACAAGAAAGAATCCTAATTGTGAAAATATAATTCTCTCTCTTCTTTCTTGTATATTCTTCTCTCTTCTCTCTCTTGTATTTTCTCCACATTGAAATAATATGCAATGAGCCCTATTTATAATAATAACATCTTAATTTATTATGCAATGCAATTCTAATCAAATCTTTGGCAAAGAATATTTTATTTCTCTTACATGAAATCTAAAAAGATAAAATATTTCTTAATCTTTACTTAATTCCATGCTTTTATATATCTTCATTATATCTTCCATATCTTCTTCAATCTGCATGCAATCTTTAATTATCTTGAATATTGATCCCATGTTTTTTTCTTTCTTCATGATATCTTTCATATCTTCTTCAATCTTCAATTATCTTGAATACTATTTTAAATCAGAATAAATATTATTCTGAAATCTCAAACAATCAGCTCATTAGTAATTTCAAGATAATAAAATATTATCAATTAAATTAATATTAAATAGATTGTAATCATCAAAACATATTTTAAATCAATTAAACAATTGTAATATAACAAATATCCAACAGCCATAGGATAGTAGCTATTGTGTAAATGATAATCACCAATATTTGAGTGGTTAGCAATAATTAAAGAGTGGTTTATAAATAATATAATATTTGTTGTAAATGGTTATCGCCTCATCTTTGATAGTCAATAGCCATCATTGAATGGATATCATGTAAATGGTTATGGATTATCTTTAGGTGTTTAATATTAGTCATTAAGCGGTTATTATAATATGCATCAATCTTATAATAAAGCAGAATATTCCTCTAATTATAATGAAATGAAGAAAAAAAATTGGTCTTACAACCTTTATCATGGGAAAGAGAGGAAGAGCAATTACAAACAATTGCAACCATGGCACTTGATGGTCTTGGTGAGATATCTGGTCCAGTGATTAGGATTTGTCAGGATGTATGGTCCAATGATTGGGGTTGTTAAACCGTCATTTAGGAGCATGTCTTTGATGTACACGAACATGTATCCTTTTACTAAAAGTACAAAATGTGAGATTTAGGGGAAATAATCATACAAAAATGGGTAAAATTAAAAATAGTAAATATATTATTTTTCTCTTATTTAGTAAAAGATGCACCGAGTCTTTAGTACTCCCGTGATAAAATTTACAATTTAAATGATCATTCTTAATAATTTTAACTGTTTTATCCTGTAAACAAATATTACTTGTTAATAGTCCTTTGCATTAATTTTCTCTATTTTCTATTTTTTTATAAATTCATTCAAAATATATTGTAAGAATAGTTAACTGGATTTTGCTAATTAACATTGAATATAGTTATTTAAATTAAAAATTCGAATTAATATAATGTCAAGTATTTTAGAAATACTTTTAATTTGTCCATTCCAGTCAGTTTGTTATATTGTCTTTCATTATTACTAGTTAATGGATTATTTCATGCACTTTGACAAAAAAAGAAAAGCTTGTTTTATATTATTATCTTTCTTTCTTTTTGGTTGCGAAGGTATCAGTTGACAACTGAAAATTAATTTTTTTAAGGTAGGAGATCACATGAAGTAGAGTAAATCTCTCTCAACAAAGTTTTTTTTCCATTTAAACAGTCAAAAATTAAATTTCTATCAACATGTTTACAAGAGTCAGTTATCCATCAACTATATACTTTGTTAATAATCTTAAAAGCAAAAAGTGTGGGAAAACCTCGGAAAAATATATTGCCGTATAATCAAAATCATA